TCACACCAGAAGTAACTCCGGACACGACAAAAAAAAAATCCCTTTGACCTTTTGCCAGGCAAGAGCAATCTTTTGAATGGACCTCAGAGAGTATGACCATACCATCTGTGGCCTGCCTCTCATAGTTTGTTAGCAATTGAAGCAATGCCAAAGTGTTTTCAGATGTCACAATTGCGAATATGGTCAAGGTGTGTGACACCAGCTGTAAGTCGTAGCATCCTCATCTCCATAACCCCACAATGGTGTTCTGTCTCCTTTGTTGCACTGTGTGTGTGTGTGTGGGGGGGGGGGTTGCGCCTCCTCCATGGGCCGGGTAAGTGCCCTTGGCGGGCTGGAAGTGGCCCGTGGCCCGTAGTTTGAGGACCCCTCCTAAAAATGGTAGTGCACCTGACCTACATTTGGAGAAACAGATCCAAGAGCACCCCCAGTTTGTGGACAGTCTTTCAGGGGAAGTGTAACCCCATCCAGGACTGGTTGGTACACCTCTCTCCACAGGTTATGGACCTTCATGGCAAGCACCTCTGTCTTGTCTGGATTCAGATTCAATTTCTTTTCTTCATCCAGCCCATTACCTCCTCCAGGAATTCATTCAGAGGAGACACACGATCCTTAGCTAAAGCAGTTTTTGAAGGCATGGGGAAATATATTTGGGTGTCACCAATGTACTGATAGCACCCCATCCCCAAAAAACCTTAGAATTTGGTAGTCATTTGGACCTGAACAGATCTCTAGAGTGCAGCTAAGCTGTTTCCCGTCTAAAGGTACATAGTGCCTTTTTCAATACATTCTTTTCTCTTGCAATCTATCCACTTATACTGTGAAATATGTAGGAGGATGGGATGATGATTTTCTAAATAGTTAAAGCTGTTTTGGTAGCTTTCATTGTGCCAAGGAGTACATTGTATCTCTATGACTATGCAGCTTGAAGATCAATTAAAAATGCATGAGAGCAATTACAGCAACTATTCGAAGTATCCATTTGGCACAATGGATGAGGCCAAAGTTAATATCCAGAAGCATGTTTCATTATGCATAAAGCAGATGTAAACTTGGATGAAACTCAGTTGACATGCAATGCTGTGAAAACACTGGCAGTTCTGTAATTGCATGCAAACATTTTTTTTTAAAAAAGTATTTTGATTGGGGGGCCTTTTTTGCTCATCATTTTAACAAAAACAGTTGATTTTACACAACAGGGAGCTTAGATGTGCGATTCATGGTCAATACTTGTCTATGGCCATTGATTCTGAATAACCTGGACTTATCTCCATCTTGTTTCAGATCAACATATTTCACAGGATTGTGTTGAGAAAAAAAACCCCATGAGATTTATTTATCGTGTCATCAGCAACCAGACCATTGTATTACATTTCCAACAGAACAAAACAAACAAACAGATAAAAAAACACAAATTTTGCAAACTTGGTAGTTGATTAAATGTCCTTTGACCAGTATCTGGCCACTTGGAGTGCCTCTGGTGTTGCCGCAAGAAGGTCCTCCATTGTGCATGTAGCAGGGCTCAGGTTGCATTGCAGCAGGTGGTCAGTGGTTTGCTCTTCTCCACACTCGCATGTCGTGGATTCCACTTTGTAGCCCCATTTCTGAGAAGTTGGCTCTGCATCTCGTGGTGCCAGAGCGCAGTCTGTTCAGTGCCTTCCAAGTCGCCCAGTCTTCTGTGTGCCTAGGGGGGAGTCTCTCATCTGGTATCATTCACGGATTGAGGTGCTGGGTTTGAGCCTGCCACTTTTGAACTCTCGCTTGCTGAGGTGTTCCAGCGAGTGTCTCTGTAGATCTAAGAAAACTATTTCTTGATTTAAGTCGTTGACGTGCTGGCTGATACCCAAACAAGGGATGAGCTGGAGATGTCACTGCCTTGGTTCTCTCACTATTGGCTGCTACTTCCCGGCGGATGTCAGGTGGTGCGATACCGGCTAAACAGTGTAATTTCTCCAGTGGTGTAGGGCGCAGACACCCCGTGATAATGCGGCATGTCTCATTAAGAGCCACATCCACTGTTTTAGCGTGGTGAGATGTGTTCCACACTGGGCATGCATACTCAGCAGCAGAGTAGCATAGCGCAAGGGCAGATGTCTTCACTGTGTCTGGTTGTGATCCCCAGGTTGTGCCAGTCAGCTTTCGTATGATATTGTTTCTAGCGTCCACTTTTTGCTTGATGTTCAGGCAGTGCTTCTTGTAGGTCAGAGCACGGTCCAGAGTGACTCCCAGGTATTTGGGTGTGCTGCAATGCTCCAGTGGGATTCCTTCCCAGGTAATCCTCAGAGCTCGGGATGCTTCTCTGTTCTTAAGGTGAAAGGCGCATGTCTGTGTTTTAGATGGATTAGGGATCAGTTGGTTTTCCCTGTAATAGGCAGTTAGAGCACCTAGAGCTTCAGAGAGCTTCTGTTCAACCATCTCAAAGCTCCCTGCTTGAGCTGGGATGATCGTCAGCATAGATGAAACTCTCTATCTCTTGCAGTGGCTGGTCATTTGTGTGAGTGTTAAACATTGATGGGAGAAACACACTCCCCTTAGGCAGGCCGTTCTTCTGTCTTCGCGATCCGCTTCTCTGCACCTGGAACTCAACAAAAAAGCTCCTGTTTTGTAGCAGGTTTCCTATGAGGCGGGTGAGGTGGTAGTCCTTTGTGATGATATACATTTTTCTCAGGAGGAGGCGGTGGTTCACAGTATCATAAGCCGCTGACAGGTCTATGAAGACAGCTCCTGTGATCTGCTGCCTTTCAAAGCCATCTTCTATGTGCTCAGTCAGGTCTCTCCAGAACTTTGTAGAGGTGGCACAACAGGGAGATTGGTCTATAGCTTTTTGGATCATTACGGTCTTTGCCTGGCTTAAAGATGGCAATGACTCTTGCTTTCCTCCAGGTGCAATTCAGTTTATTAGCTCCAGCAGCCAACACCTGCTGGAACAGAAGCAACCAGAAGCAACCTATGAGATAAAACAAATGGACAAAATCAAACATATTGATCATTTTGAAGTGATTATTTTTGCTGTTTTTTTGCTCTTGTCATCATTTGAAATCCCTTTATAAGAACATTAATTCCAGTAATAGTAGATAAAGATAATGGTTTTCCCCTGACATTAAGCCCAGTCAGGTCTGATACTGAGGGGTGGAGCTCATCTCCATTTCTAAGCCAAAAAGTCGGTGTTGTCTGTAGACACCTCCAAAGTCATGTGGCTGGCATGACTGCATGGAGTGATGTTACCTTCCGAAAGAAGAGGTACCTATTGATCTAATCACATTTGCATGCTTTCCAAAAGCTTGCTTGGCAAAAGCTGGGGCTAACAGTGGGAGCTCATGCCGCTCCCCAGATTCGAACCTGTGACCTTTAGATCAGCAAGTTCAGCAGCTCAGTGCTTTAACCCACTGCGTCACCGGAGGCTCTCGTAATAGTACAATGTCCTAAAATGAAATACCCCCCCCCCCCATTTTTGAAGATTGTTTTTATGGATATAAAATAATTCCTATATTGAGTAAATCAGTTCTGTTGAGAAAATGTCTTTGAAAGACACCCTACGCATCATCACCAGCCTCTCCTGTACTAACATGTTCTGTAGAAAATAACTTTTCATAACCCTGTGCTTACAAATATATTTTTCAGAGGCTAAAAATGTATTGGCCAGAGTCTTGAATAGAGTATTGTTCAATAAAAATGGCAAGAATTCTGAATTCCTTATAGTTGTCCCCAAATGTTGGTGGATTTGTGTGTGTGTGTGCATGGGCACGCTGATTTTTCTTGGTGTAAGCATATAACTTTTCAAAATCTAGAGTAAGAATGAGTAACTTTGGAAGGTCTGGGGGCTATCATCTGCCTCAAGGGACTACATAGAGATAAAATGGTCCTCCAAAACCTAAAATAAAACCTAAAGTGGCAAGAGATCCACTTCTAGTTTGGAAAATTGTGGTCTATTAAATTTAAAGAAACAAGGCTGATCAAATGCACCCCACTTTCGACAAATAAAGAGTGGTTTGTGGGAGTCTGGCAGACATGGGGCTACAATGGTCCCACTAGGTAGATATGAGACTACTGCAACACACTCTACATGGGGTTGCCTTTGAAGACTGCTCGGAAGCTTCAAATAGTCCAACGAGAGGCAGCCAGATTAATAACTGGGGTGGCATACATGGAGCATACAACTCCCATGTTACGCCAGGTCCACTGGCTGCCAGTTTGCTACCGGGCACAATTCAAAGTGCTGGCTTTGGCCTATAAAGCCCTAAATGGCCCTGGCCCAAATTACCTGTCCAAACGCATCTCCCTCTATGTACCATCACAGAGATTAAGATCCTCCGAGGGGGCCCTGCTTTCCGTCCCGCCATTGTCACAGGTGCGATTGGTGGGGATGAGAGACGGGGCCTTCTCGGTGATTGCTCTCCGGCTATGGAACTCCCTTCCTTGTGAGATCAGGTTGTCCCCCTCCCTCCTGTCCTTTAGAAGGATGGTAAAAACTTGGCTGTGGGACCAAGCTTTCGAGACAGGGCAATGAAGCGACAATGGGAAAGATGACAGGGCCGATTGGATTTGATGCGGATGGCTAGGACGGTTTTAAATTGTGCTATTTTAAATGGTGTATTTTAATATTTAGATAAATGTTTTTAATGTTTATGTATTGTATCCAGGCATTGAATGTTCGCCATGTATATGTTGTGCTCCGCTCTGAGTCCCCTTCTGGGTGAGAAGGGCAGAATATAAGTGTTTTAAATAAATAAATAATAATAAATAAATGCAAAAGCATGCCCTAGGCCACATGTAATCCTGCCCTGATCTAGAGGTTCCCTAGTAAGCGATAGCTGTTAGAGAACTGCTAATATATTTTTCCAGTAGAGTATGAACAAATGAATCATCATCACCATAAGGAAAATTTTACTTTAGCAGACTGTTTCCCGTGAAAGCATCCTATGCCATTTACATAATGTGTTGAAGTATTTATGGATTTTTGTTCTCTCTCTTTTCTTCCTTTCCCTTGACCAAATGTTGAATAGAAAGAACGAGAGAAAGGCTCCAATCTGGCATTCATGTTTCGTTTGCCCTTTGCAGCTGGCAGAGTTTTCAGTATCAGCATGTTGGATACCCTGCTGTACCAGGTATTTTGAAAAGCAGTGTTTTTTGGGGGGAGGAGAGGGCATAACTATCTCATGCTCATTATTTTGCCTTTCTCTGTCTACACATGTGAGAGTCACAGTACATGAACAAAAGCTTTTCAAGCCAAAATATTGCCCAACTGAAGTCATGATTGCAAATAACACCATAAAAACAGAAATAGTTATGAAGCTCAAAAAAAAGATATTAATCTTGAGGACTGCCAATATATTTTTCCAGTAGAACACATTTTTGAGAAGGAATGTTGGAATGCAACAATGCTTAACACTGAGGAGTGAAGAATGCAGCACCACGGACAATAGTAATAGGGTTAGATAGTTCAAGGGAACTGAAGTATACTCCCTCTATGTCCACTTATGCAACTCCTCTGTGATATAAACTGAAACTCTTAAAGATGTATCTTCACCTCTTCTCTTTCTCATTAATCATCTCTCAACCTTCCAAGATGTAGCTAGATTAGGTCAGCACTCTGAGCTACTCTCCTGTTTTAGAATGTTCCTACAATAAAGCTGAATTTATTTCTCTAAGCAATTGGGTGTTTGCTCCTCAAATCAAGATCTCTAAACCTCTGCATGCACATGTCACACTCTTTGTCTAATGCTGTTTGGTTCAGGTTCACCAGTTTTGTTTCCTGATTTGCTGATTAGTACTGATTTCTGGTTCACTCAAGACTTCTTCCTGCCTTCCTAACACTGCCCTAAGGAAGAGAACGAAGGAAATGCAGTGCTCAGTTTCATATTATTGTGTAGTATGACTGATGGCTGAATATGGTTAAATATAATTTTAAAAACAATCAAATTTGGAATCTTTCAGCAAGGTATATTGGTTTTTTTTTAAAAAAAAAAGATTACATGAGAATGAACAAAATATAGAGCAGTGATTCTATTTCAAATATATGATTAGGTCTAAAATTCAGCATGAATTTTGTCAGGATTAATTTAGTTATGTATGTGTTTTGAATGTGCTTCTATGTATTGCCAAGATGGATGCTACTGTGAATTAAAAATGCTGTGCAGAATGTTTACACCATGAGGCTGTGATTAAGTGAACTTGAGAAAAGTAAGATAAGGTTTGCTCTTGCTGGGAACAGAAGGGAGTAACCAGTCTCAGCAAGAAGAGATAAGCAGATGTGAAGAGGCTTTCGCTTTGACTAGTTCCTGATTGTAGCTCGCTGTAGTAAGATATGTCTGTTGAATGTGCTTAGTAAACTTAGTTTCTTTTGTAACTCAAAGCCTACAGAGTCCTTATTTTACAACTCAGTGTCTGCTGATCTAGCATTCCTTCCGCTGGGCATCGTCTGAACTCTGACAAATTTTGTTGTCTGTACCTTTTTTAATACCATGCTAAATGTGAGAGAAATAAGGTTGAAAACTGTGAAAGCCATCCACAACATGGCTACCAGCCTCCTCCCAGTAGGCTCAAATCAAGGAAAAGCTTTATGAGAGCTTCCACTCCTCTTGGTGTCCCCCAGCAACAGCAAGGGTATCCCTCTGGGCAGCTAAACCAGGAAATCCCACTGGATGGTCCCCCACGAGGATCTTCCTCCAGGGGCAAACCAAGAATGGAAGTCCCTGAACATCATAAGTAGAGTGGGCAGATCGAAAGACAACCTGGCACTACCTAAAAGAATCCCACACCTTGTGTGACTGTAGAGCAGAACCAACAACTCCACATCTGTATGCTTGTCCACTATGCCCTGCTTCATGTACAGAGGAAGAATTGTTGGAGGCTACAGACAATGCCATTGCTGTTGCCCATTTTTGGCCAAAAGACATTTAGCTGCCTGCGATCCTTCTATTTTTATCAGTTTTATACTAATTTATGCAATGCTTTTAATACGAAATAATTAAATAGCATGGGTTTGGCTTATTTAATAAAAGTTTTTATATATACCACCAGTGTTTAGGGTTGTCTTCTGAATAATATGGGAAACAAAATGGGCTAGAACAGATTTTTAGAGTTTTCTAGTGTTAAATTGTGTCTTAAATTCACAGTTACTAAATCCAATTTTTCACTGATTGTTTTCACATATAAATGTTTTGATTTTGATTTTTGAAAGAAAAATCAATATCCAATTCCTTTGTCCATCCTTTCAACACCAAGACTATTTCCAATCTTCATATCCATGGGAAAGAATGATCTCTGGTGCTCTAAGAGAATATTGCTATCCTTTAATGGTTCACCTCATCTTATCCTTTCTAACTATATTGACTGCTTATGGTTGTTCCAGATATGAGCCTACAAATCTATACCATCAAACCTGCCATCAAACAGCCAGCTCTCTCACTGGAATGGGAAGCATTGCTGTGGCTGAATCAAATAACTGGAAATAAAATCAGGCTCAGAAGAACACAAAGCTAGACACATAATAAAAAAAACCTCAAGACACACACTTATCACAACTTGCTGCAGAGTTAATGAATATCCTGCTGCTGAGAGGTGATTGGGGAGCTATGAGGTTGTGAACAACTCTGCCATGCTGTAATCCTGCTATTTTTCTGCCACTAGCAGTAAAAATATAACACTGAGGATTTTTTGCTGTGTGTTTAATCTTTGAACAGCTGAATTATGTTCTTGGCCTTTCCAAGCCTTGCTAGTTGCCTTTAAAGATAAGTTCTGGATCCGAGGAGATTCATCTGTACCAAAAAATTGCTTATGCTAATTGATATGTTGAAGTACAAGCTGAGTCCTATTTTCAGAGCCCCTCCAACTTGAATCCAAAAGTAACAGTTGGATATTTTATTACATCCTATTTTATGAGTCCGTGTATGACGAAGGATCAAGCTATGCAGTACCTGCTGAAGTTGAAGAAGGGAAAATGCCTTTTTCAAGCACAGCCTGCAAGAGACAAATGCAGCATGTTATAAACCAAATATTTTTCCTCAAAGGAAACTTCTATATAAAAAGAAGACCACTTGCCCGACTGGTGCAGAGCTTTGGGCTTGAGTGCCACCAGTACGCTGATGACACTAAGCTCATTCTGAGGATGGAGGGCTGGCCGGACTCTCTACCCAAAAATTTCCATCAGTGCCTTGAGGCCGTTACTGGATGGTTGTGTGCCAGCAGGTTGTGGGTGAACCCAGCGAAGACGGAGATCCTTTGGCTGGGCCATCTGGGTGGGAGGGAGATCCAGCTGCCTACCCTGGATGGCGAGACACTACGTCCATCACCTTCTGTAAAAAGTCTTGGTGTCTTATTGGACCCGCTGCTCACAATGGAGGCCCAGGTCTCTGCTGTGAGCAGATCTGCGTTTTTCCACCTACGTCAGGCTAGGCGACTGGCTCCCTTCCTATCTAGGAACGACCTGGCTACGGTGATCCAAGCGATGGTCATCTCGAGGCTTGACTACTGTAACGCCCACTACATTGGCCTTCCTTTGTCAGTGATCCGGAAACTGAAGCTGGTGCAAAATGCGGCGGCTCGTCTTCTCGCCGGGGTGCCGGTGAGGTGTCGTATCACCCCAATTCTACAACAGCTGCACTGGCTTCCGGCTGAGTACCGGATTACTTTCAAGGTGCTGGTACTAACCTTTAAGGCCTTATATGGTCTGGGGCCGGCATATCCGAGGGCCCGCTTATCCCCCTACCAACCCCAGAGATTACTTTGGTCCGAGGACCAAAATTTTGCTTGAAGTCCGGATTTATCCGGATTTATCATCTGTCCTCTACTAGGCAGAGAGCCTTCTCGATTGTCGGCAGAACCATCCGAGAGCTACTTGCTTTTTGGAAAGCCTGTAAAACCTTTCTTTTCCGACAAGCTTTTGATGGGTGAATAACTTCGGGACTATGTCTGTTCCTGTTTTTATTGTATTTTAAAGTTGGTTGTATTGTTTTGATCTACTGCTGTAAACCGCTCCGAGCCAAATTGGGAGTGGCGTTATACAAGTCAAATAAATAAATAAATAAATAAACAAATAAATAAATATAGTCATGCTGTGTGAATGGTTACTGAATAATTGTTAGATCTAAATAACTTTTCTTCTCTTTTTAAAATCTTCACAGTCATTTGTTAAGGATTATATGATCTCCATCACAAGACTTCTACTGGGACTAGACACTACCCCAGGATCTGGGTTTCTGTGTTCTGTAAGTGTGAAGCCTTTTTTTTAAAGTCAAACTGTACATCTATTCAATTTGGGATCATTCTGGTTTTTCTTTTTCTTCTTGTCCTTCAATCAATCAATAAATCAATCAATGATTTATTACGGTCTATGAACAGCACAACATAGAATGGGGCACAGGGCCCAAGAAAGGGGGATCGCAGTTCCCAAGTAGGTAAAATATAAAAGCAGATTAAAAGCATGTTATAAAAAGAAAACAGATTAAAAAACAAGTTAAACTTAGTTTAAAGATCAGGTATGGGTCTAAAGGAGGAGATATCAAGCCACTGGGAGGCTTTGGAGGGGGTTGAGAATCTCTTCCCATTTTTTGTCAAGGAAAATTATTTTAACAAAAAGAGTACAAAATCATCACACTTTTAGTAATGCAGAAAGCTGGGGTTTTAAAAAACAAAGGGATACAAGCCTCCAGAAATCTTCCAAGACAACTTACTTACCTAGGTGATCCCTGGTTGTGCGAGTAGGATAATCCTCCAGGGTGGATCCATAGGTGACTATGGAGCCCTATTCTTGATGTGCATCATCTCCCGCAGTGAGGGCATTGGTTTCCAGGTGGAAGGAGGTCCCGGTCGGGGTTGGCTTGATGTGCCTTCCTCTTGGCACGTTTCTCTCTTTCGCCCTCCGTTCGTGCCTCTTCAAATTCTGCAGCACTGCTGGTCACAGCTGACCTCCAGATGGAGCTCTCACGGGGCAGGGCTTCCAGGTTCTCAGTGTCTATGCCAGAGATTTTAAGATTGGCTTTGAGCCCATCTTTAAATCTCTTTTCCTGCCCGCTAACATTCCGTTTCTTGAGTAGAGCAACTGCTTTGGGAGACGGTGGTCAGGCATCCGGACAACGTGGCTGGTCCAGCGGAGTTGATGGCGGAGGACCATCGCTTCAATGCTGGTGGTCTTTGCTTCTTCCAGCATGCTGACGATTGTCCGCCTGTCTTCCCAAGAGATTTGCAGGATTTTCTGGAGGCAGCGCTGATGGATGTTCTGAATGCATTTTATCTTAAGTTAAAGAGAGTCTAATCCAAGATGTAGGATGCCCATTTCTTTATTTAGACAGTAGTCTAATATGTATTTTCCTGTTGGAAGTCATATCCTTAAATACTGGCCTATCTTTAAATAGAGGTTTGGTTTATTGAGTAGCAGTTGGAACATCTATTTTATAGATAGTATGAATAACTGGGGTACTTTATACAATACCCCAAAGGTAAATACAATCTGAAATAACATTATTATTTACTAGCTGCCCCCTGCCACGCATTGCTGTGGCCCACATGGGGGTTCTGTGTGGGAGGTTTGGCCCAATTCTATCGTTGGTAGGGTTCAGAATGCTCTGTGATTGTAGGTGAACTATAAATCCCAGCAACTACAACTCCCAAATGCCAAGATTCTATTTTCCCCAAACTCCACCAGTGTTCACATTTGGGCATATTGAGTATTCTGTAGAGTTTGGTCCAGATCCATCATTGTTTGAGTCCACAGTGCTCTCTGGATGTAGACGAACTACAACTCCAAAACTCAAGGTAGGTCAATACCTGACCAAACCCTTCCAGTATTTTCTGTACGTCATGGGAATTCTGTGTGTCAAGTTTGGTTCAAATTGTTGGTGGAGTTCAAAATGCTCTCTGATTATAGTTGAACTATAAATCCCAGCAACTACAACTCCCAAATGACAAAATCAATTTTTTGAGTGAAGGACATACATTGGGTTGTTAGGTGTCTTGTGTCCAAATTTGTCCAAATTTGGTGTCAATTTGTCCAGTGGTTTTTGAGTTCTGTTAATCCCACAAACGAACATTACATTTTTATTTATATAATTATTATGAACAAAAATAAAACTTGGCCACTCCTGATGCCCACATTATTGTATATTGTATTGTTGCGCTGATTTAACACGCCTCTTTTTGTGAGAAGAATAGCGCTGAGGTTCCAGTTGTCTGGTTCCAGTTGTCTATCCTAGCCCAAACAAATGTCCTCTATGGATGAATATGAGCATAAACTTCTCATGTTCACATCTAGCTTTAATGCTATACCCATACAATATAGATTTGGCTTCTGAAATTATTACATGAGAATAAACAAAATATAGAGCAGTGATTGCATTTCATATATAACATTAGGTCTAAAATTCAGCATGAAGCAAAATGTTCTATATTTTGTTATGGCTTCTACTCTACCTTTCCCTGTGCCAGATGACGCATCATTTCAACTCCCTTTCATTGGAGGTCCAGTTGTCCCTCGCCTCTTTCCAAAACGTGAAGCCATTTTAAATTAGTCAGACATTTGAATTGTAAATTATAATTATGGGACTGTAATGTGCAATTGGTGTAATATTTTAGTCCTTTGTGCTAGTTTTATTATGTTTTTAAATTACATTTTAAGTCTTTTTAACTATTTTAACTATAATGCTAATCTATCAAAAATTAATTCTTTAAATTCTTTTTAATTGTTTGTCATCTAACCTTTTAACTTTACTCATTTTAATTATTTAAACCACCTTGGATGTCACTTTGAAGGAAATGCAGGATACAAATTTACTAAATAAATAAAATAAATTTGAAAATATCCATTCAGTGGCAGCAGAGATGGGAAATCAGCCTAGAATTTTCGTATTATGAATAACAATAAGTTTGGGTTGTTGTAGGTTTTTTTGGGCTATATGGCCATGTTCTAAAGGCATTTTCTCCTGACGTTTCGCCTGCATATATGGCAAGCATCCTCAGAGGTAGTAGTGAGGTCTGTTGGAAACTAGGAAAAGGGGTTTATATACCTGTGGAAGGACCAGGGTGGGACAAAGGACTCTTGTCTGCTGGAGCCAGGTGGGAATGTTTCAACTGACCATCTTGATTAGCATATAATGGCCTGGCAGTGCCTGGAGCAATCTTTTGTTGAGAGGTGATTAGACGTCCTTGTTTGTTCCTCTCTGCTGTTTTGCTGTTGTAATTTTAGAGTTTTTTAATACTGGTAGCAGATTTTGTTCATTTTCATGGTTTCCTCCTTTCTGTTGAAATTGTCCACATGCTTGTGGATTTCAATGGCTTCTCTGTGTAGTCTGACATGGTGGTTGTTGGAGTGGTGCAGCATTTCTGTGTTCTCAAATAATATGCTGTGTCCAGGCTGGTTCATCAGGTGCTCTGCTATGGCTGACTTCTCTGGTTGAAGTAGTCTGCAGTGCCTTTCATGTTCCTTGATTTGTTTGGGCAATGCTGCGTTTGGTGGTCCCTATGTAGACTTGTCCACAGCTGCATGGTATCTGGTAGACTCCTGCAGAGGTGAGAGGATCCCTCTTGTCCTTTGCTGAACGTAGCATTTGTTGGATTTTCTTGGTGGGTCTGTAGATTCCCTATGCTGATGAGGAAACACACAAGGACATCTAATTACCTCTCAGCAAAAGATTGCTCCAGGCACTGCCAGGCAATCAAATGCTAATCAAGGTGTTCAGTTGAAACATTCACACCTAGCTCCAGAAGACAAGTCCTTTGTCCCACCCTGGTCATTCCACAGATATATAAACCCTTTTTCCTAGTTCCAACAGACCTCACTACCTTTGAGGATGCTTTCCATAGATGCAGGCATAATGTCAGGAGAAAATGCCTTTAGAACATGGCCATATAGCCCGAAAAAACCTACAACAACCCAGTGATTCTGGCCATGAAAGCCTTCGACAATACATTGAACAATAAGTTTAATCACTGAGGAACAGAAAGCATCTTGATATGCAAGTATATGATGTAGTTGTTAGGCAACTATTTTCCATACTATTTTCCTCAAAATTATCATAATGGCTGAGTGGGATATGAAGTTACCTTGTCATAACAGTATACTTTAGAGAACGTTGTTTTCCTCCATTGAGAAACCAGAATAAAATGAAATTATATGTTACAGAGTTATATGTTAGGTGCTGTTTTATACATTTACAAATAACTTGTACCAACAGAAAGTGACAAACTTTGTAATGCTTACTTACATTATCTAGGTTTTTTTTTATGTTGCAGCTCTAAAGGGAAATGAAAAAAATCTTCCCTAAACTAAAAGTACATTCTGTTCCCAGAAATTATCATGTTCTTCTATATCTCTGTTCAGGTACTTTCAATTCTTGTGACCATTTCCCTGTCCTTTGTAATCACTGCTTGGTTTTAGGCACTGATTATTTACGAAACCAAAAGTATTTATCATCATTGAGCATGAACAACAATAGTATAAAAGATTTCATGTCTTGCGTGATGTTTGAGAACAATAACTAGTCTTTTGCTAACTGTAATAATTTTTGCAATTTTTCAATTTTAGCATTTTTAAAAATTAGACTGTCTTTATTACTTTTGTTGCTACTTAGATGAAAATTACTGAAGATGATTTGTGGATCAGAACATATGCCAGACTTTATCAGAAGCTTTGTTCTTCTACAGGAGACATTCCTATTGGTATTTATAGAACTGAATCACAGAAGCTTACAACATCAGAGGTTTGGATAGTTTACTCTTCTCATATACATATATATAACAAGTATTGCAGGAGATTAATACATATGATCATTGTAATGTACTGTGATATCCATGTCTTACTTTTGCAATGCTTTATGTCATGAACAAGTCACACTTTGCTGTGGGGTGTCATTTATACCCTATAGAATCCTGTATTTTTCTCTATAGATGTTAAGTATGGGTATTATACGTCTTCAGATCCCTGAAAACCTGCAGTAAGTATAATTCATAGAACCATAGTTGTCTATAAGTCCTGGTGCTATTTGTTATGGGCTTGGAGTTCTCTGGCACATTTTACATCAGCAATTTCTAAACTCTTGTAACATAGATGAATAGTGTGGTTTCAGAAATACGTTTCTTAAAGAACTATTTATGTGAACAGGAAATAAATATTTGTTTACACAGGAAGCAGAACTTCTGCATTTCTGCAACATTTACCACACTTTCTTTCCTTCTTCCCAATCAGACTTCTGCTAGGAGAGGGTAATTCTATCCTGTATTGTGTAGTATTGGATTGACATTTGGTTTTTACCAGGACAGGGGTGCACCTTTATTGCATAGTTGTATGTGAGAATTTCTGCTCAGATGTAGCATTTTTTCAGTTAAGAAGCAGACAAAGGAGAGGATGAGATAGGTTATACTAAGGAGTGATAGTCACTTTCAGATATTCTAAAAGATAAGGTTTGACAAACAAAATGGGATTTATCAAGGAGAAAAAATGTATCTCACTTATCAGAAGTTTGGAAACAGCATTTCTCTCCCCCCCTACAATTACAAAAATTCATTAATAATAATAATAATAACAACAATAATAATAACACTTTATTTGTACCCCGCTATCATTTGCCCAAGGGACTCGGTGCGGCTTACATGAGGCTGAGCCTAAACACAACAATACAAGCAATAATCACAACAATACAAGCAATTAAAATAAAAACATAGACAATAAACATATAACATTATCAATAAGACAACATACAATTAAAACTGTGGGAAGGCCAAATGTAAAATTAAAATTGGAAATAGTGCTGAACATGGATGAGAAGGTGATAGTGGTGTTTGTGGAAAGACATACGAGCAGACCTAAAAATGTAAAGTGCTTTAGAGGGACAAAGTGCTATGGGATCATTATTCTGGGAAGGCACACTGGAACAACCATGTCTTCAAGCTCCTCCTGAAGACTGCCAGGGTTGGGGCCTGCCTGATGTCCTTAGGGAGTGAGTTCCAGAGTCGAGGGGCCACCACCAAAAAGACCCTCTCTCTCATCCCCACCAATCGCACCTGTGATGCAGGTGGGATCGAGAGCAGGGCCTCTCCAGATGAACGAAGAGATCGTGTGGGTTCGTATACAGAGATGCGGTCACGAAGGTAGGCAGGTCCCAAACTGTTCAGGGCTTTGTAAGTAAGAACCTGCACCTTGAATTGGGTCCGGTAAATGAATGGCAGCCAGTGGAGCTCCTTGAACAGGAGGGTTGACCTCTTTTTAAACAATACATTTACTGGTCAGGCTAACTGTAGATACTCTAGAGATGTAATTCTTCACTACATTTCTTCTCAAAGGTCACAATGAATAATTTCAGTTCTTTTTTTCCCACCTCAAGTAAGTCCTCAAAAACCACAAAGTTTTTGAAGGCGATTTCCAATTCAAGATTTCGATGGGGGAAAAAATTGATCACCTTTAGTTGTTTTGCCTGCACAGATATATTTCTGCACAAAAAGCAGCCTCTTCTGTATGAAAAATGTTTCAACACAGAAATATGAATTTCTGCAAATAAAAGTGCTTTATGCTGAAAAGGTTGTTTTCTGTGCAGAACAAATGTCATTGGGGGATTTATTTTGTATAAAATTTGCACATGGTTTGTTTGCATAGAAAACAGTATTTCCTGCACATAAAACAGATATCTGTATTTTTACATTGCGTAGAGGTTATTATTTCTGTACTGAAATATTATTTTCACTCAAAAAAAGCTGTTTGTTCTGTAGAAAATACTGATTTCTACACAAAATAATTAAGTCAAACGGTGAAATTTTTCTTTAGTCAGTTCTTCTTGTCAAAGTTTTTCAACCCTCAAAAAGATATTTTGACAATTTTTCAAAATGTTGTGAAATAATTTCTGATTTCTAAGGGATTCTGGCCATTATAATCCAAAAATAACCTTTCCACTTTCCGTCTGGAACTTTGTACAGAGTCGCCTAATGGCTGAGAAAAGCGGTATGTAAATGAAGTAAATAATAATAATAATAATAATAATAATAATAAATGTGCATATATTGAGTTCACATATATTTATTTATTTATATGGTTAAATAATTTCTCCCCATCCCTCCAGCTGAAAAGGCTGCCTGACAACTTTATGTAAGATCAATAACAGCCAACAGAAACCTTTTTTCTAGGTTTATCCTCTCATGGTAGAAAATGGTAAAAGAGGAAGAAGAATAATGAGAAGATAACATTACAAATTATTATGTTTCAAAAATATTTTAATTGCTAACTTGAACAGGCATAGGGGGATAAGTTGGAACTTATGGAACAACGGATAGTAGGCTATTCCATAATTTTCCTATAAAAACATCTCTTTTTGTTCCTCCTTCAAGCTAGTTATGTTAAGAGGTTTTTTGTGTGTGTGTTGATGCTAAGATCATTTGCTTCTTTCCTCCTTTTTGCTGAATGGAGACCACAATGTTTGCTATTGATCCACTCCAGACATCTTTTTTGGTAGCAATGAGACAAAAATATTTCAAATATATAAAAGATAATAATATTTAAAATATATAAAAGATAATAATATTTTAAATATATACAATGTAAAATAATTAAGATATATCAAAATGCATATTTATCCACTCACCATCTTGTCATATGTTCATTAGTTTTGATTTCATAACCTGTTGAAATGCCATCGGACATTGTTTTCATTTCACTAAGCTATTGTCACATAATGTATTTATTTATTTATTTATTTATTATTTGAACTTATATGCCACCACTCCCCTGGGGCTCGGAGCGGCTTACAAGAATGACTAAAATCTAACAGAATTTAAAAACAATTTAAAACAATTTAAAAACAGCAATATCAAAAATCAAAGGCCTGTCGAAACAGGTATGTCTTACATGCCCTGCAGAAAGCTGATAAGTTCTGCAAGGCACGGACTTCAGGTGGCAGAGTATTCCAGAGTGATGGTGCCACTGCTGTAAAGGCTCTGTGCCTGGTTGCTGTTAGACGCAAGATCTCAACACTGGGAATTTCCAATAGGTCTTGGTCCTCAGAACGGAGGGATCTCTGGGGTTGGTAGGGGGTGAGGTTAGATTTCCTTATCTAACTCTAGGTAGATAAGGAAATGAAGAATGTTTAATAGTATTGAAATATTATTTACTTTTCATACACAAAGAGAGAGAAAAAATGTGAAAATACAGAAAATTAAATCTATGAGACACATTTTAGCATTGTAAAATTGGTTGGAATGCATACTTCATCACACAGTATGCTCTGGGTAATGTCAAGAGATTAGAGCAATGAACCTGAAATGATAAAATGTGCATTTGCAATGCTCTGATAAAAGTTTCAGCTGACTACATTTTACACAAAATTACCGTAACAAACAAACAAATATTATTGCATAAAACATGTATACAAATATACAACAATAGATGTATTGGAAGCCCATGAATGATGCACTACATTTCAACCATGTTTCACATATGTGTAGATTTTTCATACTGAATATACAAAAATGTTCACATTATGGTGTGTGATTGAGGAGGTTCAGTGCATGTAACAGGGCAGGGGAGTTGTATTTCCTTGAAAATAATAATAATAATAATAATAATAATAATAATAATAATAATAAGAAGAAGAATAAGAATAAGAAGAATAACAACAACAACAACAACAACAACATTTTATTTGTACCTCGCTACCATCTCCCCAAGGGACTCAGTACAACAGTACAACAGTACAAGCAATTAAAATAAAAGCATAGACAATAAAATATACAACATTATCAATAAGATAACACACAATTAAAAACAGGTCTTGGGAAGGCCAAATGTAAAGTTAAAATGGAATTAATGCTGGGACATGGACGAAAGGTGATAGTGGCGTTTGTGGAAGAGCATACGAGCAGATCTAAAAAATGTAAAGTGCTTTGGAGGACAAAGTGCTATGGGATCATTATTCCAGGAAGGCACACTGGAACAACCACGTCCTCCTAAAGACTGCCAAGGTTGGGGCCTGTCTGATGACTTTAGGGAGTGAGTTCCAGAGTCGAGGGACCAGCACCGAAAAGGGCCTCTCTCTCGCCCCCACCAACCGCGCCTACAATGCTGGTGGGATTGAGAGCAGGGCCTCCCCGGATGATCGAAGGGATCGTGTGGGTTCATGAATGTGAGTAGAAGTCTCAGTAGGATTGATCACACAAATAAAACGTGATTTACAATTGCACAAAGGTTTCTACTTATCCTCAGGTTTATCTTTGTAGAAGACATTTTTAGTACTTTCACTTCAACATCAGTAAATCTGAGACTGGGCAGCTGGACCCCGACATTGGTGTGTGTGTATCATTACCATCTTCCCTTCAACACACTCACTGCCAGTTGAAAACCTGATATCTAATGTGTGCCAAGAAAGGTTAGAATCCTCCAGGAAGAGCTGTATAGCACGAATCTATATATAAAAAAACAATTAGATTGGTAGTAGATATTAAATATTTCAGCTTTCTTTTAATTTCTAGGGATCTGTAAAATCTTTGTGAACAGAAAAGTAAACATTCCCTAGAATTTTTTTCAAGCCTACATCCTTTTGTTTTTACCTTAAATGTAGCCATAGGCCAAATTCAGCAACAGCTTTGATTTTATTTATAAAGCTACCAACAAACATTTATGATGATAGAATCGTAGAGTTGGAAGAAATCTTATGGGCCATCCAGTCCAACCCCCAGCCAAGAAGCAGGAAAATCACACTCAAAGCACCCTTGACAGGTG